AGACAACACATTGGCACACGGCTGGCACTGCTTGATGCTGGTCTGCATTTCTGGAACCCGAGACCCCTCAACTCATCTACTGAATCCCCCTAGTTCGCTTCTCCCTTACCCTAACGTGTCTGGGCACCTCTGCAGTACAGGTGCCTGCGAGCCACAGCGGACGTGGCACAGGAATCCCAGGCATTGGCCTGACTGCTGCTCCCCTTCTCCTCTTGTGATGTGGCCTGTGTCACTCGATTTCTATTACTAAGTTCTAACTCCGTCATGTGTAAAATGGAGATCAGGATCCTTGTCTTTTCCACACCACTGGGTTTCTGGGAGAATTATATAAGCGAGTGGAAGCCAATTAAAAATTTTACAGTTCTATAACTATATGAGAGATTATTGGGTCTAGTTAAATACAATTGGTGCTACTCAGTTAATGAAGTTATCTCCTCAAAGCACCACAGCCTCCCCTTCACACTACTCAAAATGACAAAGTTAGAGCTGCCTGGTGATTTAATCCCTCATCTTCCCCCAGCCGTGCTGGGGAAGCTTCTCTGCGGACCGGATCTGGGAACGCTTTGGCTGCACTCTTAGTGATGCAATCACTGGGGGTGGCTGGGCTCTGGTGGCTTCAGCGGGCCAGTGACCTGAATATTTGTCAGGGTGTGGTGCGCAGAGCCTCCTGATAACCCGGACAGCTATCAAAGAGAAGTTCCAAGGTTTCATTCTAACCAGCTTGAAGTTCTGGGAACTGAGATGGAGAGATGGTTACAAGAATGGCCAGTGAGTGTATCTAAGAGTGTTCGATCGAGGTCTTTAGACATCAGAGAATTAAGACTGCTTTGAGATCTGATCTCACCCTGGTCAGAATGGCTGTCATCGAGAAATAGGTAATAAATGCTGATGAGAATGTGGGAAAATTCTTACTCAGTGTTGGCAGGGGTGTGAACTGCTGCAGTCACTATGGAAATCATACTGGGAGCTTCTCAGAAACCTAAAAATAGAGCTGTCATGTGACCCGGGTACCACACTCCTGGTTGTAGCGCAGAGGACTCTGTGTCCTACCATAGAGATACGTGTACGTGAGTGTTTTCGTCACTGTCTTCACAACAGCTAGGGAACGGAATCCGCCTAAATGGACATCAATAGACGAATGGTTAATGAAAATGGGGTACATGCAAAAAGAGGAATTTTGTTTATATGTTTTTGTTTTTGAGATTATAAATACATTATTTATCCCTTTCATTTCCTCCCTCAAATCCTACCATATACCTCTTCTTTTCCTCTTTCAAATTCATGGCTAATTATTGTTATACGCACATATGTATGTATACATACATACATGTATATTCCTGAATATATCTTGTTCAGTCTTTATAATGTTACTTGTATGTGTATTTTCAGGACTGACCTTTCAGTATTGGAAAAACAATTGGTATGCCCATCCCTGGGGAAGACTCTTTCTTCCACACCCATCATTCCTTAGCTGCCTGTATTTGATTTTTTTAAAAAAGCTTTATTTATTATTTTGTATACAGAGTTCTGTCTGCATGTATGCCTGCAGGCCAGAAGAGGGCACCAGATTTCATTACAGATAGTTGTGAGCCACCATGTGGTTGCTGGGAATTGAACTCAGGACCTCTGGAAAAACAATCAGTGATCTTAACCTCTGATCTATCTCTCCAGCCCCCCTTTAAAAAATATTTATTATGTATACAGTGTTCTGCCTGCATGATAGAAGAGGGCTTCAGATCCCATTACAGATGGCTGTGAGCCACAATGTGGTTGTTGGGAATTGAACTCAGAACCTCCAGAAGAGCAGTTAGTGCTCTTAACCTCTGAGCCATCACTCCAGCCCCCTGTATTTGAGTTATTATAAGTTTTCCCTTGTCCAATTTAGCATGTCTATTGGTGTCAACCTTTTTTTTCAGATCGTGTTTAGACAACCATGTTGGTGAGACTTTTCTAGGAGGCACAATCTCACAACAAACTCCCGTTCCTCTGACTCTTAACATCTCCTCTTCTCAAATAATCCTTGATCTTACAGGCAGGAGTTGTTTTGTAGACATGTCCATTGGGTCCGGGCCCTACAACTCTGATCCCTTGCACCTTTCTGTGATGGTCTGCTTCTGTTGCAAAGAGAAGTTTCTTTGACGAGAGGTGAGAACTAGTCTTATCTGCTGATATAATGATAAATATTTAGAATGTAGTTAGAGATTATGCTGGTTTAGTAAAATGGCAGTTGTAGCTTTTCCTGTAGCATCCATGATTTCCCTAGCCCAGGGTTGACTAAGCTTCCAGTACCAGGCATGATTTCTGTTTTTGTGCAGGTCTTAGGTCTAATTAGAGAGCTTTTGGTTGCTGCCAAGGTTACTGCACCCTTGGGGTTATCATGTCGTGTGCTCATTGCTGTGGTTCATAGGTGTCATATAGCTGGGTAGGATTGTTGGTTGCTTTTCTCCTTTGAAAGCTTCTATGACCACTTTTAGCATCATGAAAGGTAGTCCTCAGGGAGGAGGCTTTTGGGTTATATACAGCCTGGGGTCTTTGGGTCCTGCATTTGAAGTGCATGGTGTCTTCAACAACAGGAACTTACCTTTCACCATTAGGGGACAAGCAACATCAACAACAGTGTAATGTCTCAGGAGTCTCTTGAGTAACTCTGACCATCAACTCTAAAGTAAGTTTCTCATGCCCAGTATTGGGGTTTTAAATTAGATATTCTATGGCTCTTAGAGGGAGCATTGTCAGCACAGGTGGGATAATTTCATTTAGACCACATATGTATTTACATATATATATATTTAATATACATAGGTATTATGTGTATTAAAGGTATTTGTCTTAAGAATTCCATTGGTGTGTTGAAACACCATGACCAAAAAGCAGGTTGAGAAGGTGTGGTAGTTTGAATGTAATTGGCCTCCACAAGCTCACAGGGAGTGGCACTGGTAAGAGGTGTGGCCTTGTTGGAGTCCGTGAGGACTTGAGGGAGGAAGTGTGTCACTGTGGAAGTTGATTTTGAGGTCTCATATATACTTAAGTCACTCCTAGTGAGACAGACCTGTGGGATCAAGACATAGCAGTTCCTTCTCCAGCACCATGTCTGCCTGTATGCCACCATGCTCCCTGCCATGATCATAATGGATTAAACCTCTGACCTGTAAGCAGCCATATTAACGAAATCTTTTCCTTTAACCTCACATCTGACAGAGGTCTGGTCTCCAATATATATAAAGAACTCAAGAAACTAGACACTAAAATAACAAATAATCCAATTAAAAAACGGGATATAGATCTAAACAGAGAATTCTCATCAGAGGAAACTCAGATGGCCCCCCCCCAAAAAAATGTAAGGAATTGCTTAACATCCTTAACCATCAGGGAAACGCAAAACAAAATGACTCTGAGATACCATCTTATACCTATCAGAATGGCTAAGATCAAAAACACTGATGACAGCTTATGCTCAAGTAGATGTGGAGTAAAAGGAACACTCATCCATTGCTGATGGGAGTGTATACTTATATAGTTACTTTGAAAAATCAATATGGTGGTTTCTCAGAAAATTGGAAGTCAATTTACCTCAAGACCTAACAATACCACTCTTGGGTATATACGCAAAGGATACACAGTCATACCACAAGGACATTTGATCAACTATATTCATAGCCACATTATTTGTAATAGCCAGAACCTGGAAACAACCTAGATGCCCATCAACCAAAGAATGAATAAAGAAAATGTGGTACATGTACACATTGAAGTACTACTCAGCAGTTAAAAATAAGGGCATCTTGAATTTTGCATGCAAAAGGACAAAATTAGAAAACATCATCCTGAGTGAGGCAACCCAGACCCCAAAAAATGAATGTGATATGTACTTACTAATAAGTGGATACTAGTCATAAACAAAGGGCAACGAGCCTATAGCTCAGGATCCTAGAGAAACTAAGTAATAAGGTGAACCCAAAGAAAAACATATACAGACCCACCTGGAAATTGGAATCAGACACAAATTTGGGTGGGGGAGAAGGGAGGTGGAGGAGAGCTTGAGGGAATGAGATGGTTGAGATGGAGGAAGGACAGATTTGAGAGCAAGGAAAGAGATATCTTGATTGAGGGAGCCATTATGGAGTTAGCAAGAAACCTGGCTCTAAAAAAATGCCCAAGAACCCACAGGGATGAACCCAGCTGAGACCCTAAGCAGTAGAGGAGAGGGTGTCTGAACTGACCTTACCCTGTAGTCAGACTGATGATTATCTTAAATATCACCATAGAACCTTCGTCTAACAACAGATGGGGAACAGAGGCGATGACCCACGTCGGAGCGCTGGACTGAACTCCCAAGATCCAGTTGAAGAGTGGAAGGAGTGAGAGTATGAGCAAGGAATTCAAGACCATGAAGGGGCCATCCAGTGAAAAAAAAATAAAAAAAATAAAAATGAAGACATCTTGAAATTTGAAGGCAAATGGATGGAACTAGAAAAAAAAACCATCTTGAGTGAGGTAACCCTGATCCATAAAGACAAACACAGTATGTACTTACTCATAAGTGGGATTAGATGTAAAGCAAAGAATAACCAATCTACAATCAACAATCCCAGAGAAGCTAAGTAAAAAGGGAGACTCTAAGAGGGAGACATATAGAGGGCCCCAGGAAGAAAAATAGTTAAGATCTCCTGGGTAAACTGGGAGGGGGTAGAAGGGAGGGAATGGGGGATGGGAACATGAGGGATCAAGAAGACTGAGTTGGGGGAGAGATGGAGGGGGAGAGCAATGAAAGAGATATCTTGATACAAGGAGCCATTATGGGGTTAGGGAGAAATCTGGTGTTAGTGTCGTTCTCAGGAATCTACAAGGATGACCCCAGTTAAGACTTCTAGCAATAGTGGTGAGGGTGTCTGAAAGGGCCTTCCCCTTTAATCGGATTAGTGACTACCTTAATTGTCATCATAGAATCTATATCCAGTAACTGATGGAAGCAGATTCAGTGACCCACAGCCAGGCATGAAGCTGAGCTCCTGAAGTTCAGTTGAAGAGAGGGAGGAGGATCATATGAACAAGGGGAGTCAAGAACATGACAGGGAACACCACAAAGACAGCTGACCTGAGCTAGCAGGAGCTGGTGGACTATGGACTGACAGCAGCCAGGTAAGGAGGGGGCCTGCATGGAACCGAACCTCTGAATGTGGGTGACAGTTATGTGGTTTGATATGTGGGGGGGGGGGCGGGGAGCGGCATCAGGACCTATCCCAGGTGCATGAATTTTGGCATTTTGGAGTCCATTTCCTATGGTGAATTACCTTGCTCAGCCTTGATATGGGGTGGAGGGAAAGGGAAGGGGCTTGGTACCGCCTCAAGCTGGTATTCCAGACCTTATTGACTCCCCAAGGAAGGTCTTACCCATTCTGAGGAGTGGATAGGGAATGGGAAGGAGGGAAATTGTGGGGAGGCAGGGAGAAGGGGAAGGAGGTTGATTATGTTGTAGGGTTGGTATGTAGAATGAAAAGTAAACTTTTTTAATAAAGAAAAAATGAAATTAAAAAATGTTTTCTTTATAAGAGTGACTGTTTATATTACATTTGATTACACATCTAGCAAACTGAACATTAAATCTGTAATATATTCTAAAATTACCAAAATTAAAAGTAGAAATTTTATAACCACCAATCAAAAGAGGCAATACAACTCATGCTGTAAAGATGCCCCCTTTATTTCAATCCTATAAAAATCACTTGGAAATCAAAAAACAAAACAAAACAAAAAAAGAGTGACTGTGGTCATGGTGTCTCTTCAGAGCAGTAGAACCCTGACTAAGACAGAAGTTGGTGCCAGGGGCTGGGCTATTGGGTGACAGGCCAGAGCTTGCATTTGTTTGAAGGAATCTGGACCTTGGTGCTGTATGTTAGAAAAGCTGGTTTCAGTGCTGCTTAAGGGGTCATCCTAGTAGAAGCATGGAAAACAGTGATGCTGGGTGTGATTTGAACTGTGGGTGTCTGGGTCAAGAGGTTACAGAGGAGAAGAATGGTAGTATGTGGCCTAGAGACAAGTTTTGGGATATTTTGATGAAGAATATGGCAGCTTTTTGTCCTGGTTCTAAGAGTTTGCCCGAGGCTAAGTGAAGAGCTTTGGATTAATTCTGTTGGCAGAGGAAATCTCAAAACAGCCTAGCATAGACTCTGTCATGTGGTTATTAGTGTTAACTCTAATGAAGATTTATAATGAAAAGGAGCATGCTGAGCAAATAAAAATGCAAAATATATGGATTGAGAAAAGGACTACCAGGAAGTGGAATAGAATTAAATCCTGTGTCGAAGGAGATAAATGGATTAAGAAATGGGATAAAGGGAACGGTGACCTTAGGCAAGATTGCACCCAGCTAAATCTCCAATTTGTGAAAAGGAGCTAAAGAACAGTTTAGATCCAGGCGTGGTGGCACACGCCTTTAATCCTAGCACTTGAAAGGCAGAGGCTGGTAGATCTCTGAGTTTGAGGCCAGCCTGGTCTGTAGACCAAGTTCTAGAACAGCTAAGCTTAGGCAGTAAAGGAAACCATTGAAAACAGAAAGCAAGTGAAGATGTAATTGAACGAAGGGGTCATGTTCCAGCCCCAGCAAGCCGCAGAACTTGGCAGCTTTGGCCATGCAATTCTGGCTTAAGCGTCAAGGATAGAAGAACAGGCCTATGGAATTTACCTCTGTGACTAACGAAAGCCACTAAGGCCAGGCATGTGTCAGGGGTGTCCCTCAACAGAGGTCTAGAGAGGCCACTGAGTGAAGCTGGGAAGGTAGAGCCTGACTTGCCTTGGAGACCCCAAAATGTTAGAGTTGCCATAGTTGTTTACCTATTGAGTAAAGCTACTAACAAGAATGGAACCATCCCAAGAGAAAGAAGTGTGTTGCAATCAACAAGCTGAAAGGAGTTGGAGGTCTGAATTATATCTTGACATCAGACATGGAGATGCAGAGTTTGGAGTTTGCCCAGCTGGTTTCAGTCTTGCTTTGGTCTGGTATTTACTCCCTGTGCTCCTTTCCCTACACTTTGGAATGGTAATGTATACCCCATGTATATGTTGGAAATATATGATCTGTTTCTTGATTTTGTTTTACAGGGGATTACAGTTAAGAGATTGAATCTCAGAAGAGACTTTGAACTTTAAAACGTTGTTGAAACTGTGATAGACTATGGGATTTTTGAAGTTGGACTAAACTCATTTTGCATTATGATATGGTTACAAGCTTATGGGTGTCAGGGAGTGGAATGTGATATTTGAATGTAATTGGTCCCCAGAAACTCAAAAGGAGTGGCACTATTAGGAGGTGTGGTCTTGTTGGGGTAGGTGTGGTCTTGTTGGAGGACATGAGTCACTGTGGAAGTTTGCTTTGAGGTCTCATATATGCTCAAGCCTCTCCTGGTGAGACAGATTACTTCCTGTTGCCTGTGGAATCAAGATGTAGCAGCTCCTACTCCAGCACCGTGTCTGCCTGCATGCCACCATGCTTTCCACCATGATCATGATAGACTAAAACCTCTGAACTGTAAGCAGCCTCTGTAATCAAATGTTTTCCTTTTTAAAAGTTGCTGTGGTCATGGTGTTTCTTCACAGCAATAGAAACCCTTACTAAAGCAGGTGGCTTACACTTTCACAATGTATTTCATGATTGAAGAAAGCCAGGACAGGAGCTCAAGCAGGGCAAGAACCTAGAGTCAGGAGCTGATGCAGAGACCATGGAGGAGTGTTGCTTACTGGCTTGCTCCCCATGGCTTGCTTGGTCTGCTTTCTTATAGAACCTAGGACCACCAGCCCAGGAATGGTCCCACCCACAATGGCCTGGGCCTTCCCCAATCAATCACTAATTAAGAAAATGTTTATAGCTAGATTTTATGAAGACATTTTCTCAACTGAAGCTTCCTCCTTTTAAATAACTGTAATTTGTGTCAAATTGATCTCAACTATCCAGCACGGTATTTTAGATAGACAGTTAACAGCATGACCACTTATAACTTTTCAGACATCCTTACTGTTGTTCTACCCTGCCCCCTCCTTCTGCCATATTGTCTCCCTCTCGCCCCACTACCTAATTAGAGCATCCTGCTTTCTCCATTTCCCCAATCAGATCATTTGTGCCCTGCTATTTCCCTCTCTATTGCTAATCCTCACCCCTAAACCCAGCAGTGGTCCCTTTTCACCTTCCCGACTTCTGCAGTTATCCCAGGATATCCATTTACATCTGAAGATTTGGAGCTAGGACCCTCAAATGAGAGAGAACATTTGATGCTTGTCTTTCTGGGTCTGAGTTCCCTCACTCAGTATGATCTTTTCTAGTTCCATTCATTGACCTGCAAAGTTCATTATTTCAGTTCTTTTTACACAGTGGAATTTTATTCAGCAGCAAAGAAAAAATGAAAAATGAAATTATGAATTTTACAGGAAAATAGAAGCACCTGGAAAATAACTATATTAAGTGAAATAACTCAGTTTCAAAAAGAAAATTACCACATGTTCTTCCTCATATGTAGATCCTAGCTTCTAATTTTCATGTCTGTGTATTCATGTAGGAGAAAATTTAGAGGATCAGAAGTCTAGAAAGCAGCCCATGAGGAAGGTGGATGGGAGGACAGTATAATGTGGAAATGGGACTACTGGAGGAGGAAGCCAAGGAGGAGGGCCAGGGAGATGGAGGAGTATGGGGGAGATCAACTCAAACTAAGTGTGTATGAGAATGCCACAAGGAAACGTGCTTCTTTGAATGTTCATTAAAAACTAAAATTAGCCAGGCGGTGGTGCATGCCTTTAATCTCAGTACTTTGGAGGCAGAGGCAGGTGAATCTCAGTGAGTTTGAGGCCAGCCTGGTGTACAAAGCAAGTTCCAGGACAGCCAGAACTGTTATACAGAGAAACTCTGTCTCGAAACCAAACCAAACCAAACCAAACCAAATCAAACCAAATCATACATACAAACAAACAAACAAACAAACCAAACAACCAAACATTAAAGCCAAGGGTGTTGACATACACTTTTAATCCCAGCACTTGGGAGACAGAGGCAGGCGGATCTCTGAGGTCAGCCTACAGAGTGAGTTCCAGGACAGCCGGGGCTGCACAAAGAAACCCTGACTACCCCAAACAAACAACAAACAACAAAATCAAATCAAATGAACAAAAACAAACAAACAACAACAACAACAACAAAGCAAAACTAAACTAAAATTTAAAAAGACAAAGTCCTGATTGGGAATGTGATGAGGGTAAAGGGGGTAAAGATTGCCCAATCTCAGCTTAGATGTGTACAAAATTGGCAAAGAATAAAACAAAGATTGAGAGTAAAATAGAGTCAAAGAGGCCAATGGCCCCCAGAAACTGACCCTTCCTCAATAAATGGGTCACCCAGCCCATGTCTAAATGTCACCGGTAAGCAGTAGCCCAGCACATAGAAAAGGTCCTTTTGTTGTTAGCTCTAAGTGGTGTGACATTGACCTTGGTGCCGTGTAACTCTCCCCGTGTAGAAGCTGCCTCTTGCATTGAAGTCATTGCAGTCTGGGAATCAGTCATTCATGTTTTAGTGTGAAATTATCCCTCTAGGTCATTTGCACCTAGGATATAAGTTGGTATGGCACACATATTGATCCAGAAACAGCTGGAATAATATCAGGTGTCAACTGGCCTTGAGAAATGAGAAAACAGAAGAATGTCTGTACGTGGCCTCCTGGCCAGAGCAGTTGAGCAGATCAAAAACCTGGGAGTCCAATATGGTGAGAGTATAAGACCATTATAGTGGGAGTTTTGTTTTTGTTGCTCAGTGCAATATCCTTTATGCCTTAGATGAGGTCATCTATGCTGTTAGTGATCAATTAGTGCTCAGTGAATGACTATGGGTAAATGAATAATGGGGATAGAGAGATTTTGCAATGTCCTCTCACGCCACAAGGTCTCTTCCTCAAGGCAGAGAGCCCCCTCTCCCAGGCCTATCAGTCCCTCTTCTTCAAGGTTCCTTTGTTCCTCTCGACTTAGCTCTATTTACTTGAGGTGCGATGTTAAAGATTCTGTGATTCTTTTCCATTAAGCATGACTTTTGAGGGGCCATGAACACTTCTTGTTTTGCTTTTCAGTGATTCTTTAGGGCTGTACACAGTGTCCGGAGTGTAGACGAC